ATTAAGAAGTTTAAATGAGAAACAGCAAAAAGCATTTTAATTCATTGCTAAGCACAGCAGAAAACTAAGCAGGATTCCAACTTTATGTACAATTTGCAAGCCATATGCATTAGCTCAAACGTAAATCTCCCTTAATGAGGTATGCAGCCCAGTTATTAATCACATCCATTGAAACGTTCTCCATGTTCAGCTCTATTTCAATGCAGGGGAGGGGGTTGCTATTTAATATTTCTGTTCCTTTGAACAAGAAGAAGTGTTTCTAGGCATGAAAAATTGTAAAATTCGACCTCAAAATGAACTGTAGCAAGTGAACCTTGAATACAAAGAGGTGTCATTACAGTTCAGTTAGAAACATGTTTGTGTCTGGACCAGCAGGTCTTTGGCTCATCTCCAGGGCTCATTCTGGGCTTCTACCCAGGGACGCTTATGGGGAAGCTCTGGAAAGGTCTTTTCAGTAAAGATCAAAAATTAGAAAAGAATCAAGATCAGTGATGTCAAATTCTTGTTAGCATTAATTATTTTTAATTTAAATCAAGGTCCCACTATGGTGGTCTCTGTGTAAACAGGGAAAGCAGTGTTTGCCTTGGGAGCCTGCAAAATGGGAGACAGAAACTGATGAAAGATCTGGGATGTGCCAAAGGGATGTGATGTGTAAGTAAATGATCTCCATGAGATGCAGCTCAGTTCCCAGAGTTTCTTGCTTATGTTTGAGCTTCTGTGTGTAGTCTGAGACATTTATTTTTGAGGTGGATTGGAAAGGGTAGAATGAGGGGACTGTCAAGGTCTGTGGAACAAATTACCTGAAGAGGGAACACATCAGAAAGGAGACTAAAAGAGCATGAACCACCACTTTTAATCTGTGCTTCCAACAGATTGGTGTTAATCTAATTTATAGGTTGGTGTTTCTTAGGAGATTAGAAGGCAAGGAGGAACTACAGCTATGAGTGTTACATCCTTACACCCTTTTCTTGTCCAGGCATCTGCAGTTGTGGCTGTGGTTGAGAAGTTGGCAGAATTTCATGGGGGTGGTGTTAGGCTGACACTGAGTTTTTCTGAAATGCAATTATACGGCCAGCTCCAGACAGAATCAAATGTTTTGCTCTCTCCTCACTGCTCCTCAGCCTCAAACAATCATGGGGTTGTTGTCTGCCAGGCTCCACTGAAATGCCCGTGAGGAGACCAATGCTTTCATGTTTTGGTCTCATTGGAAATTCCCAGAATTATTTAAAAGGCTTTCAGAAGTGCTCATGCAAGCAGAAGTAAATGCAATTACTCAGAGTACACATGAAGGAATAGTCTGTATATTTAACAAGAGTGCCCCATGATGCACTGCTACTTTTTAAATGAGGTTCATATTGTAATGGCAATACACCAAAATTTGGAAGCTGGAAGAACTGACATGTTCAGGCCAATGGCAAAGTGGCCAGAGTCTGGCAGAAATATTTATAAGGAAATCAAAATATCTATTATAAATAATTTACTTTGTTGATGATATTTGTGATGGATTTAAGTGCATTTTCTGTGTTTATCAGAAGTGCTAAAATATAGCAATAATGAAACCTCTTGTGCAGCACTGGAGATTTCCCTGAGGTCCCTGTCACTAAAGATGATAGCTCAGCCAACTCAGATTTCATTGCACTTGGTTAAATATTCTTTCTATAAAACCCAGCTCTTTAAATTAGACAATTTATTATGATAGAGAACTGTTACTTAAAAGAAGAATTCTACCCTGAATACTTTTCAGGACAGAAAGGCACAGCAGGGTGTGAAACCCCTCTGTCAGCATTTCTACATAATCTGGTTAGAGAAGAAATTGTGCATGCAGTGACCTCACAGGAGAATGGACCTAGAAAGGATTTAATTTCTCTGCACAAATGCTTTTAAATATCATCAAATGCCATGTACCAAATGAAATAAAGAAGTATAGGTTTAGTGAAAACAAAATTTCTGCAGAAGGTTCAGCAGGAGATCTTGACTAGACGTAATTTTTTGCTGTAGTTGCTGCAAGCTCTGTGACATTCAGAAGATGTAAATACTGTGATATCACTGAAAATTCCTATGGCTCACGGACCCTCCTCCCTTTGGACAATGCTGCTCATCAGAGCATCACTGCCACAGTTTGACCCTCTATCCCCAAAGTCTGAACCAGGCATTTTACTGGCAGGATGAGGTCTGATTTCACCTCTAGGACTGAGATTCTGGAGAAAGGGTAAATCAGTGACGATGGTGAGAGTGGTTTAGTTCCTCAGCTGCCTCATCAGACCCTCCCTGTTACCACTAAAGCATCACAACAGCCAAGGCAAAACTAAGTATAGAAGAAATGGTCAACAACCCAACTGTGTGAACAATTCAATTACAGTGACTTCACAAGTACCTAGAGAGATGTAAAATTAAAACTATTTTTTTTCCTACCTACATTTTAGATTAGTTTTTTTAAAATGTTCTCTATCTTTTCCCTCTCCTTAATCAAGCTGGGAATTACTTTACTCAGTGTTGTGGTTAGGGTCACTTAGCTGGATGCATTGTGCTGAGATTTACCTTTATGGAATGGATCTAGATTAAGGTACACATTTCCTACTGCTACCTAAAGTGTGACCAACCTTCAAATTTTCTTTGCTTTCTACATCAAGATCCCTAAGGATTTACTGACTCTTCATAAAGAAGTGGTTTAATAATTTTTTCTATTGCTTCTTCCCTCCCTGAGATGCAGAGTCCTTGGTGACTGTGATTAATTTGCTTAATCTCTGAGCTTCAGTTTTTAAATGAAAGTGGGGGTACCAGTATTAATGATGGTAATATTAGTGATTTAGCAGAAGAACAAATGCATCCTACACTGAAACGTGTTGAGATGCAAAGTTGTTCCTCTGTAAAAAACATGTGAGCCTAAACTCTCTAAAATGGGGTGTAATTTCAAATCAATAAACTGGGATAAAAGGGTCTAAAGAACCAGCAAACTGGCCTAGTGGAAGTGGCATAGATTTGGAATTAAATGGTCTTTAATGTCCTTTTCAACCCAAGCTGTTCTATGATTTCATGCTTCTGTGCTTCAATATGCTCCTAATGATCATGGCCCCTGCTATAATGGGGCATTTCTTAGATAAAACTAGAAGAGTTTTTCTAGGACATGAATTTTCTATTTCCCAGAGAAAAAAATAAAAAATAAAAAAAAGGTATTTTTCCCCTAGATAAAATAATATAAATTTTATTTCCATTAGATTCACAACAGATAATTGTAATGCAAAAATATACTTCTTTCCCACCAGTATGATTTAAAAAAAAGCTGCCTCTTCATCCTTTAATTTGTAACCTTAAAAGTTACATTTGTGGCTGTTAATAAAAACTGAGTACAATACTTGGATTTCTCTAAGTATTCTCCAAGTGCAGAAATGCTGAGTAATCTGTGTTATGGCACTTCTAAGACTTTTATGTTTGTTTGAAATATAATGTAGACACCAAGGTTATCACCACATTGACTGCTGTCACCTCTTGCAGCAAATATTCTTTATGTCTTGATGCAAAAAAAAAGTGCAGAGTCATCCCAATCTTCCTTCCTAGAAAGTTTGGAGAAGCTGGCAGCAGCCAGCAGCTCTCCTTCCAGCAGAGCCTCATGGCTCAGGCTGGGCATCAGTGGCTTTTATGAGGATAAATGCAGATCAAACTCCTATCTAAAGAAGATGACTGATTGTGGCAGAACAGCTGAATGCTGAATGGGCATGCTTTGGTTAAGAAAACACTGAAGACTTCAGACAGATTTTTTTCTCACACTTAAAAAATCCTAATCATCCTAAGGCAGAGTTAGGTCTGATGGTAGCAAAATAAGAGACCTCAGGAATGTGAACAGAATCTGCCTCCCAACACTGACAGGATGCACCCAACACCTACATTAACATTTATTAATGTAACCTTTAGACTTGCAGTGAAGAAGACTTTATCACCTCCTTAGATTGTGTGTTCCAGAGTTTAATGAAGCTTAAAGGAAGAAAGAGTTATATTTTTCTGATATCTAATTTAATGGTTTTTGGGGGATATTTTTCCAAATGAAACCAATGATGACTTCTCCTTCAAGCAGAAATGAGAAAAACTTGATTGTTTCCTAATTATACCTTTTTTATGTTGAATGTTGTTGAGCCCTTACTGGCATTCCAGTCTATGAGGGGAAGAAAATAAAACTCTCAGTTTCTCTCTGATTTTCATGTATTAATAACAGGTTATTGTTTGCTGGTTTTATTCTCCAGGAAATCCAGCCTATTTTTACCATTTTATTTTTAAGTGTCATCCACAGCAGAGATCTGGAACTAGGTGATTTTAAAGATCCCTTCCAAACCAAAACTATCTATAATTCAATAAAAGAAATCACGCCCCATTCCAAAACAGTGTTCCAGTCCTCTTTTTTGAAGATAGACATTTTGCTGCTTCTTTCCATTCTTCTTGGACCATGCCACCTACATTTATCCCCTGAGATAATCTCTAATTGTTCAGAGATTGCTTTGGCTTAACTTTTAATTGATAAATTTCTCCAGGTTGATTGAATTTACCTCAATCAAGTGGTCTTTAATCTCTCATTTCACTTTTTTTTTTTCTATCCCCTATCCTCTTCCAATTTATTTTAACTATCTGCTCATGATTATTTTTTTTTAAATTTGAGGCCGACAATGTATTGTTTATTTCTGTCTTCACTGCAGCCTACCTTACCTGCTCTCCTTCCCTCACAAATAATGAAATAAAAATTTCTTGTCTCCTTTCCTTTAAAGAAGTCATAGGCCATTTCCTTTCCAGCAAATAAAAATTGCTGTACTTCATTCATGTCATGTTAGTACCAGAGAAACTTGGCAGTTTTGACCCAGAGCCAAAGACCCCCTGAACCTTTCTGGATCTGCTCAGTGAACTTAACTCCACTGTCAATGCTGTTGTGGCACTGGCAATGGAGCTGAAGGAACAGAATTTTATAGACTGACTATGTTGTCTGAATCTTGAGAACTGTCAGAATATGTTCAGGAAAAATGGATTTGTATCCTTGTTGGGAGAAGGGAATAGACCTGCTTATCTGGGGAGAGCAACAGAGGCTGACAGGAAAACTTGGTATCGGTGTAATGACATGGGAAAACCAGTCAGGCAAAGATTTGCTCTTGTGTAAACAAGGGAATTACTGCTCTGTATTCCCCAGTACTTGTGTTTGTGTGATAGAACTGAAGTTACTTGTGAAAGGAGAATAAATGGAAATTTTACTTTTGTATAATAACAATCATAAGAAAATCAGTGCCAAGTGTGATTCTCAAAGAAGCTACAAATTTCAATCTTTTCCTTAGATAGTATTTGTTTTATTTGCAAAAAAAACCTTTGAGTTTAATTAAAGTATTTTAATTTTGAACATTATCACAAGTTTGGGCACACACATTAGTGCATTCTGTCATGTAGCTCTTCACACATATGTCTGACAATAAAGCCCCTCTCTACTAATTATTGTGCAGCTACCCCAAGGTTGGATGCACCCAGGTACTCATCACCAAGAATGTGATACATTAATACTTATAAATTAATAAAAATAGAAACATGGCAAAGGTACAACCGTGAACATAAAATCACAGGAGGGCAGATAAGTGAGATTTTGGTATGAGGAGAGAAAAGTCTATATTAGTGTTAATTGTTGCTAGAGCTGGTAGAGCATTGCTTCACCCATTGCAGTGCAGGAGCGTGTCCAGAGAAAGGCAGTGGAGCTGGGGAAGGGTCAGGAGCACAGATCTGATGAGGAGAAGCTGAGGGAGCTGGACGGAAGCTCAGCCTGAAGGCTCAGGAAGCACCTTCTTGCTCTCTACAACTCCTTGGAAGGACAGAGCAGCCAGGTGGGGATTGGTTTCTTCTCTCAGGTAACAAGCAATAGGACCAGAGGAAATGGCCTTGAGTTGCTCCAGGGGAGGTTTAGATTGGATATTAGGAAAATTTTCTTCACAGACAGAGTTGTCAATCATTGGAACAGGCTGCCCAGGGAAGTGATGGAATCACCATCCCTTGAAGGCATTTAAAAGATGTGGAGGTGTGGCACTGAGGGACATGGTTTGGTGGCTGGGTGCTGGGTTACTGGTGGGACTCAATGATCTTAATGGTCACATCAGACCTAAATGGGTCTGTGATTTCTGTACCTTTAGATTAAGCCATGCCAGGACATGGGCCCATGAGGTGGTGACCAACCTGGTCCACACCCTGCAGGAGACTTAAAAGCTTGCTATAAACTTATAAAAATTCCATTCAAGTCACTTGATTCTGCAGATTTACTCAGCTGAAGGAGACAATTCTTTCTGCTTGATGGCCCAAAAACAACAATGTGCAAGACAGCTGTGCCATGAGAATTTGGACAACTCACCCTAAACTTACCAGGGAATTCAAGGTCCCTCCTGAACTGAGATGCTGGTTCACAGGAGAGCAGCATTTCCACACAGGCTTTTTTGCTAACTGCAAGCCTTCTGTACTCCTGAATGTTTATCTTTCACTGGGGACACTGATCTGCAGTAGAGCAGGTAACATTCACAGAACTTGACAGTTTATACTGCAATTTTCCCTGTCCAGGACCATTGTCAGGAGTCTGCTTTGGGCAACATAAGCAGCTGTATGAATCCAAACAATTTAAATCTAAAGACAAACTCAACAGACCTTTCGTTGCACGCACTTGATTACTTGCAAATCTCCTGTTGTTATATTTCTGGGTTTGACCTGAGAAAATTTGCTTTGTCCCTGCTTTGGTTCATGCAATTCTCCTACAGAGAGTGAAGGCCCACAGACAGAGGCAGAAACATTTGCAATCTACTCCTTTTTTTGCTCAATAGTGTGCCTCCTTACATTGGCCATAATTTTCTTAGGGTTAGATCCAAAGTGCAGAGAACTTAACACTTTCTAATCCAAATCCAAATTTGTGGTTTTAATTGTTTTAATTATTATTTGAAAGCCAAACCATTTAGGATGGTTTTCTTAAATGTTAGCTCTTTTTTTTTTTTTCTGAAGTTGAAATTCTCTAATGGTAAAATAAATAAGAATGTGCATGTGCATATTCTTTTCAAAATGCACATTATATGAATACATATACATGATACATAACTTTCATTTGTTATTTATTATTTGTCTTCCATTAAGATCAGATTCAACTTTACTATACTGTCACAACATTTAATAGCTGAAGACTTCCTAGAATGTGACTGTGACAATTAAAATGAAAGTCTGTATTAAATTTTAGTTTATTTAAAAATCACACTCCTAAAACACTTAGGAATGGAATACAAAGTCAGAACCTGTTGTGGAACACTGACCACATCTAACTTTTCTGAATGTCTTCCCACATGAGCTAATGGAATCTTCCACCAGGAAGATTCCAAAGAGAGAAAGAGACACAGATATAATCATAGAAAATAAACCAATGCATTTTCTAGACAATTAATGTGGACCAATGACTTAGCCAGTATTCTACTCTCCATCACTTCCACCAACATGTCAATTTTCATAGTGTGCAAACTTGTGTGCTATCATTGAGAAGTTCCTAGTTCACTCAGTAGGAGTGAACTCAGGGAATCATGATACAAATTACTCTGGTTATTTTCCCTTTATCCTATGTGAAGAACCCAGGTGGTCACATCTACTCATTTCTCAAACTATCCCTTTAATATATACTCATTGGAAGAAAAGTTGTTTCTTGTATTTTTAAGTGTTTCAAGTTGAATCCCTTAAACCTTGAAAGATTAGTAGAATGTCACAAGGAATTTCTAAAATGAACCCCAGGTTTGAACCAAATTTCATGTGTATTTTTTTCATGTGTATTTGCAGTCCATTTGGGAACTAATTCAATTTTAATTAATATCAATTTGTGCCTTCATTTTTCTTCTGAGCATGGAGAGTCTTAGAATATCAGGCCTATTAACTTAAACACCTGCAGGTGAATCTGGTATTTAGCTTTAGGGAAACATTTTAGATTTGTCCATTTGTTTATCTGGTGACAAAAACATACCAAAATTTAGCTGACAATTTTTTTTTTACTTCTGGAGAATGAAACACCTGGGGGATGATGGAACCCCCTATGTATATGCACACATATAAACTTTGTTTTCTCCTTTCAGGTCATGGAACCAAAGGAGTGTTTGAACTTCTTTCAGGATGGCGTCGGACCAGAGAGAATCTGCCATTCAAGGACCGAGTAGCAGATGCCTACTCAGATGTCATGGTCTCCTACACGATGACAAGTTCCTTGTATTTCATAGCCTTCGGCATGGGGGCAAGCCCTTTCACCAACATCGAAGCTGTAAAAGTCTTCTGCCAGAACATGTGTGTCTCCATCCTGTTGAACTACTTCTACATCTTCTCTTTCTTCGGCTCCTGCCTGGTCTTTGCTGGCCAGCTGGAGCAGAACCGGTACCACAGCGTCTTCTGCTGTAAAATCCCCTCGGCGGAATACCTGGACCGGAAACCTGTGTGGTTCCAGACCATGATGAACGATGGCCATCAGCACACTTCTCACCACGAGACCAACCCGTACCAGCACCACTTTATCCAGCATTTCCTCCGAGAGCACTACAACGAGTGGATTACCAACATCTACGTCAAGCCATTTGTGGTGATACTGTATCTCATCTATGCCTCTTTCTCCTTTATGGGGTGCTTACAGATTAATGACGGAGCCAACATCATCAACCTCCTTGCCAGTGAGTCCCCAAGCGTCTCCTATGCCCTCATACAGCAAAAGTACTTCAGCAATTACAGCCCAGTGATAGGCTTCTACATCTATGAGCCTCTGGAGTACTGGAATGGTACTGTGCAAGAAGACCTAAAAACACTCAGCCAGGGGTTCAACACCGTGTCCTGGATCGAACAGTACTACCAATACCTTCGAGTGGGTAACATCAGTGCAACCAACAAAAGTGACTTTATCAGCATCCTCCAGAGCTCCTTTTTAAAAAAGCCAGAATTCCAGCACTTCAAAAATGACATCATTTTCTCCAAAGCTGGAGATGAGAACAACATAATTGCTTCTCGTTTGTACCTTGTGGCCAGGACTAGTGAAAACACACAGAGGGAAGCGGTGGAATTGCTGGAGAAGCTGAGGCCACTTTCTCTTATACAGAGCATCAAGTTCATTGTGTTCAACCCTACTTTTGTTTTCATGGACCACTATGGTTTGTCAGTAACTATGCCTGTCCTGATTTCTGGTTTTGGCATCCTGCTGGTGTTAATACTGACCTTTTTCCTGGTTATCCATCCTCTGGGAAATTTCTGGTTAATTCTCAGTGTCACCTCAATAGAGCTGGGTGTCCTTGGCCTGATGACCTTATGGAATGTAGACATGGATTGCATTTCTATACTGTGCCTTATCTACACTTTGAATTTTGCCATAGATCACTGTGCACCCCTGCTTTATACATTTGTATTAGCTACTGAGCACACCCGAACTCAGTGTATAAAGAACTCCCTCCAAGAGCATGGGACAGCCATTTTGCAGAACGTTTCCTCCTTTCTTATCGGGTTGGTCCCCCTTCTCTTTGTGCCTTCAAACTTGACCTTCACACTGTTCAAATGCTTGCTGCTTGCCGGCAGTTGCACACTTCTGCACTGTTTTGTTATTTTGCCCGTCTTTCTAACCTTTTTTCCACCTTCCAAAAAGCACCACAAGAAAAAGAAACGGGCCAAAAGGAAGGAACGAGAAGAGATCGAATGCATAGAGATTCAGGAGAATCCTGATCATGTTACAGCAGTCTGAAAGGCTTAGAAAAATATAATAGTATATTCTCTTTTTAAAAAAGCGTTGCACAGAGATGCAGGGAAAATAGAGCAAAGATCTCAGCTGCTTGTGCTGGCCAAGTCTGACAAGGCAAAGGAAGATCAAGAAGGGGTATTCATGACACCTCAAGGTGCAAACTTTTTTTTAACAAAAATAATGAAAGTGAAATAATCTCAAATGTTTCCTTTGAATCCTCATTCTTCACTAGGGAAGAGTCTGTTGGCCATTAAAAGTGTTCCTGAGCCTCAAACTGCAGCTCTAATGGGAATTGCTTAATATGTCATATGTAAGGCTAAAGCTAGGGTGAAAAGAAGAGTTACCATTAAGTAAACACTAGGGGAAAAGGCAGATTTGTTTGAAAAATTGTCCATGGAAGAGAACTAAACAATATTTCAAATGAGAAAAGGTTACAAGACCAAGAGAGATTGAAAATGCCATGGTAATTTTTTATTTTCTTGAGCAAGTTAGATAAGATGAAACCTATGCACTTGGGAAGTAAATGTTTAAAACTATCTAAGCCAAAGTACTTCCCAAATCCAGAATACCTTGTATATCTGTAACACCACAATTAGAGCATTATTGCAAATATGGATGGCAAAGGGATAGAGGAGGAGAAATTTATACAGGAGAAGAAATAATAACAGCCATTTGAAAATCTAGCACTTAGTTCCTTTAAATGTGACGTATCACCGTTTTCCCAGGAGGTCACAGTTGGTCGTTAATACTATACACATATTTTGGAATTTATAAATTATGAATTTCCCCTTGAATTAACAGATCTCACAAAACTAACTGAGGCCATCGTCACTGCAGCACTGTTTGCAGTTCCTGCAGTGTAACACTTCTGAATCCTAATTTATCGGTGTTGACATTAAATACTGAATATTAATCAAGCAGGCGCTTTACACGTAATGATGGATTGCATTTCACAGGCACAATGTGACCGTGTAGCAGCTGAGTCAGCTCTGGAGCACCTGCACAGTATTATCATTATGTATTTGGTCCAAGGGACCAAGGGATATGTTTGCTGGTCCCTGCAATATGCTGCAGGAAGTGGGATTTTCCCCTTCTTTAAGCAAAACATTATTCAAAAAATTTGCCACACACTAAAAAAAAACAACACCTTGTAAAGGTTTGCATGGGGCTGAATCAACCCCAAGCTGTAAGAAGATGGATTGGTCCCCTGTGGGAAGGGGAGGGGAGGGTGAAATGTCTCTTTTACTGTTATTATTATTCCTAAGTGTTTGCGTGTTGATCATCTGCAATATAAAGCTTTGTTATGGCAGTTGAAACTTCACAGGAGAGTGCAGTAAATCCTCAGTTACTATGTGGCTCCAGAAATTGTACTGTAAAGGACTATGAATGACTTTCTCTGCTTTGTAAACTATTCAGCTTAGTAGCCCAAGGGAAGGGATGAAAATAGATCTAGCCATTTCAGTTTGCTCTCAGCCCAGTTCTTCACTGGAGCTTGCCATGTCAATCTCTCCTTTTAGTATTTTAAAAGGGCTTGCTTTCTACTTTCTGGAATATGGTATAGCATCACCTCCATGAGCAATGTCTTCCTGAACCTATAGTATCCATGAGGACACTATGTAAAGATATCACTATATGAAGTGTCTGTGTCTACTTTGTATTACTTGTGGGTACCTTTAAAAAATAATCTGGAAGCTGCTTGCCTTCCAAAATGTGTATACATGTCTATTTGTGGCTGGTAACTCAGTCTCAGACCTGCAGAGTTTGCTGACAAGGGTGTGTACATATGTTCTACTAAAAGCTCTCTGCAAAATGTTAATTCTTTGCTATGTGACATATGTCACCTCTTCCTACTGTTTCATGTTTAGGGAGAGACAGAAAAAAATCACCTGCAGTACAAAAAAAAAAAGCCATTTGAATGCTAGTTCTAATATTCATGAGCTGCTTCTGTTTCCAAGGAATGCAATTTCATCTCTTTATATTTTCTGTACTTTGCCATTGTCGTTTGCCAAAAATGACCTCTGTGTTTTAGGAGTGGTCAAAACTCTTGATTGTTCGAGGAAACTTTTGAGTGCAACATGTCTTAGAGAAAGATAAACTTTCTAGACAGGAAAAACTTCCAAAATTTGAATCTAGATTTAAACTTCAGGGGTAGCTAGATCAAGGTTACTGGTTTGACCCAAAATATTCAAGGGCCAGACACAGAACAGAGATCTAAATAGTTCAGTAAGGTTTAGAAGCAGGGGATGTTTTAATGTTGGGTTATGGCTCAGATGTGTCTCTAGTTGGGAAGCTTTTACTGACCTTGATTTGCATCTCGATGACATTGTGCAATATCCATCCTATTTTGAACAGTCCATAGTAAATGTTATGCTTCCCAAGGCTCTTTTTAGATTTCCTCCACTGCCCACACAAAACCTGGATTGTTGCAGCACTGTGACCCTCAGTTATCACTTCTGGAGATGTCACCTGGGAAATTCCTGCTCTTCTCTTGTACTGCCCAGTGGGGATGTCTGTCATGCATTGTGTTGAAGGAAATAGCACTTTCCAGGATTCATCTCATCTAACTTCATATATTAGCAATGTAGATAGTTATATCTGAACTTCCTTTATGGCCATAAGAGAGTGACAGACACCTCTAATCCATTTTACAGCTATACATTGGGAGTAAATGAATCACATTTTTTAAAACACGGACTCCTGTCCATTGATGATCAAGGAAACCTCAGCAATCAGTCCAAACAGACCCATCAGCTCATCCAGGCTTGGGAAGATTAACCCCACCTAAAATGATGAAATATCAAGAGAAAGAGAAAAGATTATAGACATGCCTCCCAAGCTTCAATTTTAAGTTAATTAATTAACCCCAGGAATAACTCAGCCCATATTTTATGTTTTGCTTATGAAGTTTTATGCACAACAAATTGTTTAAAAAACTGGAATTCCCATAGCAGAGAGCAGTAAGCCAAGACATCAAAAGATGTCAATATTAAAGGTGGGCTCACACAAATAAACTAGAATTTAATGAAGTGTCAAACTAACTCCTCTCAGTGTCATGCATGTGCAGTAGCACTTGTATGACACCAAATATATAGATCACATGCTGGGACTAGAAGGTTTTTTCTCTGTCAGTGCAGGAGTGAAGCAAAAAATAAATCACTCCATGGATGTAATTTTGTTATTTTTTTCAACCAATTTCCACATCCACCAAAAAAGACTGGTGCAGCCTTTACTTCTGCAGGTACATCAGTCTCTGTGGAACAAAGAAAATTGGAATAATTTTTTGGGAAGTATAGCCCATTTATTTTAATTCTTGCTACATGTTTTTGCTTATTTTTCTTTCTATTCTTTTCAGTACATTATACCTTTTTCTACAGCACCTTTTCAGCTTAACTGAAGCTGCATAAGCCCCTGTGAAGAAAGCACATGGCTCACGCCAAGCAATTTGACACTCTGATAACATGCTGCATACTGGATCTTCATTACACACCTTTTTCCCCAGTCACCATAAATCCCCCGTAATAGTGTGCATATCCCTTTAATGTCTGATTTCATATGTGGTCTAGATAATCTTCTGAGAACTCTTTGTGCATCTCCTACTTGGTTTGGTTTCATTCCCTCAAAGTATATCGGTTTGAATTCATTGTTGAGATAATTCTGTTGAAGTCAACAGATCTATTGCCATGATATATTTAACTTTGCATGTCTTCTATCTGGTAAGAAGTGATACCATGACAAATGGGCCTCTTACATTTTTGGCATGCTTGTTGAATATGTCTGTCTATACTCTATAGCCATAGCTGCATGCAGCACTCAGGGGCTGCAGTGAAGGTCCTTTTCCTTACACTTTGCTCTTTTAACACGTTATTTTTACCTTAATCTAAACTTCTGTCTGTTTGTTTGGTTTTTTTTCTTTTATAAGTCTTCACCTCTGTAGTCCAACACTTGATGTAGGTTTAAATTAGATTTCAGAAAGAAATTTATTACTTTGAGGATAGGGAGGCCCTGGAACATGTTGCCCGGAGAAGCTGTGGCATCATCTGCCACATCTTCCCCATCCCTGGTTGTGTCCCAGGCCAAGCTGGACAGGGCTTGGACCCTTGCCAAGTGTGCTTCCCATTGCAAGTGACTGGAACTGGATGGTCTTCAAGGTCCCTTCCAACCCAAAATGTTTCATAAATGTACTGCCAAAAAAGCAATGCACTTTTTAAAGTCAAGGGAGATATGGATGTATGGCACTTTGTGTGTAGAAGTTAAAGAAATCATCTTCAGGGTTATCATTCTCAATCTTTTACTTCAAACAACTCCTATTTAGAACATATTGTGCCATGTGTTAATGTCTATCCAAGTTCCTTGAACAACTCCAGTTTTGAAATTTTCTCCAATGGAAAGAAAAAAACCAGGGGGGAAGGAAGAATATGCAGTTAAGTGGTTGTGTAATCAGCGTTCTTCTTTTCCCCAAAGGCTTTCACTGCTCTACTCTTAATTAAGTCACACTGAGTAGTAACTCTAGCGTAATTAAGATTTATTTCAATGTAGTTATTCCATATTTCACTATGACAAGAGCTTGGCTTATTGTCTTTAAGCAAGTACCATGCTAAGTCTCTGATTAATTTTTCAGTAATTATAAACTTTAATAAGTTATTTTTCATTGCAACACTAGGTTTTTGAGTACTTCAAGCTCCCATTTGATCTCCTAGGAAACACTGTAAGGAAGCAAAGTTAGGCAGTCAGTGAGCAATAGATGTGTTGCAGTGTTAGGGAAAAGGGATTCTTGGCAAAGAGGCAGCATCTCCTCCAACAAGGCTTTGAACAAACAGTGATGCTCAGGATATCTGAGAAAAGTAAGGTGAAGTGGAAACCAAATGAAACATTGTTTGGAGTGTAAGGAAATTATTATAGACAGATAAAGCTTTGATTCTTCTTTCATAACTTCTTACACAGGCAAAAGGCATTTGAACAAGAAAGGAAACTGGATATGGAAAGCACCTCATCCATCACCTAAA